GAGAGATAGACAATAATCTTATTGAAGAAAAACCGAAACTCACATCCCAATTAGTAGTTGCATTAAGAGAGTATTTGACCCAAAAGAAGATTGCCAATGCTTACAAAATAACAATAAGAACTGTTAGAAACTTAGAAAAAAGAGCCAAAAATCCTAATCAGAAAAAGAAAAAAAGAGGTCGTAAGAGAAAAATCGAAGGCTATAACTTATCACTTTTAAAATCTTTTGTTAATCAGAACGAGGAAAATATCACTGCTAGAACTCAAAAAGAATTGGTTGAAGAGTATAGAAAAAAAGGACTAGAACTTAATCAGTCAACCATTTCTCGAACTTTAAAATGGCAAGAACAAAGAAATAAAAAAGCAGGCAAACGATATTCTGAATTAGATATAGAAAAAGCTAAACAATTTGTTCTCGACAATTATGACCTTTATTCTTCCCACTATTGCTTTGCTTTGGATGAATTTGGTTTTTATTCTAACGAAGTTCCTAGTTATGCTTATTCTCGAAAAGGTTGTCGAGCTGAAATTATCCAGCCAGGAGAAAAAGGAATTCGTTATACTGTTATTCTTTGTGTTCAAAATCTAACCGAATGAGGAGAAATTAAAGTTAACTATAAGTTAATTAAGAATATTAAGAAAAAGAAAGGTGAAATTATTAAAAAGGGAACCAAAGCAGTAGATTTGCATGATTTTCTAGTAGGAATTAACTTTCCTAATGACAGTCATATCCTACTCGATAATGCTAAAATTCATCATGCTGTTAAGTCTCTTATAAAGGCAAATAGGCTTCCGATTAAAGAGTTAGCAATCAAAAAAGGAATAATCCTTAAATATCTTCCTACTCGTGCTCCTATGTTAAATCCAGTTGAGTTTTTTATCAATAATATTAAGAATTACATCAAAAAAGAACGGCCTCGAACTGAGGAAGAAGTGGAAGTAATTATTAGCAAAGTTATGGAAAAATTACAAAAAGAAGATTTAACTAAAAATTTTCTACATTGTCGAGATAAATTAAATGTAAAATCAAATTATAAAAGAGGAAAATAATTTTGCATATTGTAATATATTTACCATATTCTTTTTACTTTTTGTTAAATAGAGCAAAATTCGAATCACGATACAAATTAAACGAACATTCGAAAAACTCTTATTTGGTGGCGTTAGCCCAGATGGTTGTAGATTTAGGAGGTTTCGCTCCCTTATATTTAATATTTATATCAGTTATATATCAGATAGATTAAAACAAAATATAAAATTTATATCTCTTTTTCTTTGTTTATTCCTCACGAATGAGGAAAATTCACTTTACTTTTCGTGGCTCATTATTAAGTTTATCTTTGCTTCCGTTTAGTTTTATTATCTTTTATATTACTTATATCGCCTTTTCAATTTATTTCTCTACAATAAGATTCTAGAGATTTTTCTAATATTTCTACTAACAGGCAATTTTCGTGGTGAGCTATTTCTCTAATAATTTTGTCGTAGTCAGGAGTAACCCGAGTGGTAAACTGAATAGTGCGTCCCGTGCGTCGGAAGTAGCGACCATCAGTAATCCTTTGGTAAGGAACTGCTGCCTGCTGCAAATACTCTCTTAATGCAACTACTAATTGGGATGTGAGTTTCGGTTTTTCTTCAATAAGATTATTGTCTATCTCTC